CTTATGGTGAAGAAAGACCTGATCAAACATAATATTAATTGAAGGCTGGGGGAAAGGACAGGTTGTTCTGTTCAGGCTCCTGTCCAGTTACAGCTCAAATCATAAGAACAGTCATGGAAGCTACTGTCACTCTTGATTTCACCTTCAAAACGGGTAGGCTAAAGTAAGCTCAGCAATAAGACCTCATCTGCTATTTGTTTGACTCCCCTGTACCTAAGGCTCTGCAGGCAAAACCCCTGACTCATTCACAAAAAGACTACTGAATATCCCTGAATCTGGCTGAAGGAAAATTGACTCTAGGATTTCATTGTGCAAATTACTGAAGGGATTCCCTGAATTTTGGGGAAGATGGACGCTAATCTCTAGAACAATTTGCATTAATCTTGATCAAGAACCACTTGAGATGGCCTGCCTGAGCTTAATCAGAAGCAAGTCATTAATGTGGGTAGTCTGATCTACCTAGGATCGTTTAGAGGTAAATCTGTTTGGACTGAATTGTCTGTCATACCCACTTTAATACCCCAAAGCTGACTTGACATTCTCAACTCTTCTTGTAGGTTCTGGTTCTGGTGTGGTGGTAGGTATGCAGACCTGTCCTGGCTGGCCCATTCAAACTTGAATAATCCTCTGCCTTATTTGGGGAGATTATTGAAGTGACTAAACCTATGAATTTTTTTTTTTTCCTTAATCTGTTTCTCTGATTTAACCAGCCAGATTCTAACCAGGGAAATGTTTGTTTCCCTTCTAAGGAAAAAAAAATTCACCCTTGTTAAGGATGCCTGCATAAGTCAATGAATTAAGAAAGATACTTGAGGTACCAGTAGCAATCACTGCTACTTTGCAAAATGCACTGTGAGCTGTAAAAACTTCCTTCCATACAGAGTTGAATGATGTTGCCACTTGACCACAAGTGGTGTCCCAGGTAGCTCATTTACACACGCAGATGCAGCACTGGCTTCACTTCAGCATGTAAGGCATCTGTGTTCCTTATGAAGTCTTTGATCGACTTGGACACAGTAGTAAGGCAGCAATCTTTTGTGTCTGCAGGGAGCTATCACCATTCTCCAGTTCTTTGAATGAGGCACTGGACTATAGACACTCATTGCTCAAGAAGTCAGAGCAGGGAATTATATGTGGGTTAAACTCAGGTATCCTGAATTCCAGGGTATTGCCCAATCTTTTCCCTTTTCCATAAGAAAAAGGGTTCATAAAAGGAAAATGACTGTTAAGAGGTTGACGAAACGTATTTTAAGAGTTCCCTTCCTTTCCACATCACCAGAAAGCACAGATGTCAACTTCACAGAACATGGTTTGTAAAAATGAAACTCCTGTATCTTCTCTCTGTAGCTACAAGAAAAATCTACAGGAGGCTACATGATCACTGAAGTCGCAGCTGCTGAGCTGTTCCTTGTAAATTAATCCTTGGAACAGGAGACACATTTCAAAGCAGCTATTACTGAAGATAGAACAATGATTTCATCCTGAATATACACATTTCATATATCCCTTATATGTGGAGGCTGATACCATGATGGACAGAACCTGAAACCAGCTTTGCTGGCCAAGTTGGAAAGTTCTGCTGAATAATTGTTCGGCTGTATGATCAGATAGCTACCTGTGATAAAAACTCCTCAGCCCAACTAGTTGGACTTCTCTCAACTTGGCATCATAAGGCTTGATTGTAAATCTTTGTAAATACTGAAAATATACTATAACTTATTTTATAACTACTTCCAATACACTGGAAGAAAATCTTAAGCTGTTTTTTCCATGATCACAGTGAAACAGCAGGTGTGGAAGAACAGGCCTTTGGACATGGAGATGGTTCCTTTTTGAACTGTCTCTGATATCTCATAGCTGTTTATGCTGCTGTTAACCTTGCTCATTCAAACATCACCTCCTGGCTACAGAAGCTGAGGAACAACAGCTGGTTGCCCTTTGTCTGATCCTTCAGCTCTGAGTAAGGTCCATGCTCTTCTGAGACAATGTATCTACCTGAATTTAAATATTACCTTTTTTTTTTCCTTAGAAACAACAGCAAAATTCCATATGCAACACAAAAATGACTTGCATAGTTGACACTGTGGCCCAATTCATTACTGTATTCTCTCGCCCCTTCCAAGCTATCCTAAAGTATCCTTAACAAACCTGGAACAGAAATGGAGCTTGAATTCTGTCGCAAATACACTTTGACTCCTCTACCTGTCATGACTGTCCCTTGTAGCAATGTGTCCAAAACCAGAAGTCAAAGGAAGATTGCATTGCTGTTATTGGAGTGGTTGGCATGAATGCTGGATTTACACAGGTAAAATTCTGTCCTGCTTCCAAACAGAAAGTTACAGTTTTTGCAAGTGTAACCAGGGCTGGTGGGGAAACAAAGTTTGGTGTTAGAATCTAGCCAGGTAGCTCAATTAGTTGAAAAGTTCTGAAAAGTACTATGGAGAGGAATGTATCTCAGTCTATGAAAGACACAGGCCTGAGGTCTACTTGCTTGTAACAAGGATGAATCCTAGTAACTCCCAATTTATGCAATGACAAGCACTTGTCATATCCTGACTGGTGAAGAGCAACAGTGTATACTGCAGTATGAGCTACTCCAATGTTCCAAGCATTGGTGTTGACAAAGGTGATGTCTTTGGTCCATAGTGATTTCTACCTTGTTACCACAGGGATAAGAAATAACTTGTAAGCTTTTTTATGCACCAAAGATAAATATTTCTTTCCACTCAGTCACTTGGGATCTTATTTACTATGTACTTCCAAGACTATGCAAATTGGGGTGGTCCAAATATGTATGTGACAAAGTGTGCAAGTTCTAGGATTTCCTTTATTTTTTGTAGGGATTATTTACTACATACAACACATTAAAAGAACAAGTTTGTAAGAGATGTTACCATTATTTGTCTTCTACTGAGCCTATCTGAAGACTAGAGTTATGCCGACTTCCACAGTTTCAATGGCCTTGAGTTGAATCCTGGAAGCATTTCCCACCTTTTAAAGACTTGAGATACCTGATCTTGGTGGCTTTTGCTTCCACAACACTGCACATTCATAATGCCCATATAAGGGAAATTTTGTATTTCATTTAAAGTTGCTAGAGCTCTGATTGACATGTCTGAGTACAAAACAAAGAACTGTATTAAAGAAGACTCCTTCCTCCTGTTTCTTCCTTCTTAGCTTCTCCTCCTTCTAAGAGCAGGATACACATTACAAACCTGCTCATATCTCATTATCCCCAAAAAGGTTTTCCAGTAGTCATCTCATGCTTTGATAGAACTAACTTTGTAATGATGAACAGGACACAAGTAAGATGGTGTAACATCTTCCCCCATTGAGATAAAAATGAATGTAAACGCTCTCAATGCGAGAAGAACATGCTTGGGCATCCTGACACCACAGCTGCTTTATGCAGCTTTGGCCAGGACAAATATCCTCCTTCAAATGGAGTAAGTCCTAGCTGCAATAAGAAAACTGAATTAATTTGTCTACTAATGAATATTCTTTCAATCTTTTTCAGCCTTCTCGTGAGTTTTAAAGACTTGAATTTATTGTAGCTTGTCTTTAATTCACGCCATAATCATCATTTAAATCTTGCTTTGCTTCTACACTGAACCCGCTTGTAAATATTTAATTAAAACCTGTTCACTTTCATACCATCAACCTTATTTTGAATCTGAGCACGAGTAGTGTGGAGAGTAGTAAGAAATCCAGGCCAAGCCTTAAAAGCATTCTAAATCACTGAAGTCACTATTTAGTCTAACTTTCCTTTTTTGAAGCAGGAGTGCCAGTTGGCATCTTCTGTAGTATGTGTTGTCTTCATACCTTTTTATTGCTCAGTTACCAGTAACTAAAATAATCACAGAACTGCTCCACAGCACAATGTATGGATAGTGCCCTAACTTTAAAACATGTTCATTCAAGCAACTAACCATGGAAATAAAATAAAATTCTTCGAAGTGGTAAAACTTGAGACTTTTGTCCTATGTGGTAACATAAAAGAAAAGGCCAGGATCAGGAAGCACAGTAATGTTTTCTAGGAGGGAAAAAAAAAAAAAAAAAAAGGCAAAAAGCAACACTGTAGAAAAAGCAGTCTTAAATTCAGGTCCTTATACTACTGCTCCCTTTCCAAAGATACTTCCCTGAAAAACCATGAGTCATGAAAAACAACATTCAAGCACTGCTAAGGGTGTAAGAGGAACAGAATGGTAGCAGTAACACTACCTTCTCATACCTGTAACTTAAAAACTTGCATGACTTGTATTCTTGACATTGAGATCTGGAAAGTCCTGTCAAGGAGAACAACGGACTGGAATCATTCCCCCCTCCACTCCCATTCCTCTGAGAGCCAGTTTGGGCGATTCAGACCCTCTGTATTTATGCCCAATAGATGTTTACACCTGAACAATTTGTCTCCTTTGTGTCAGTTGAAGCCTCTTACTGCTTCTCTTTCTCGGCATCAGTCTGTCCTGCATTTATCCACTGGTACTACATTCTCTTTTAGTTGACATAAAATCAAACATTTGTAAAAAACTGTGACCTAAAACAGAATTGTAGAAAAGAACAGAACTTTGATGGATCTTTTCTTGCCTTCATCTGGAATCTCCACTTCTTTCAACTTCTTTCTTCAAGTACAATGCTCAAAACTGAAAATTTGAGTTTTACCAGTGATGAGCAAAAAAGGATTACTTAATTTTATAGGATTTACCATACACTGCAAATCCCATATGATGGCCGCATTTTTTTTTTTTTTTTTGGAACAGCATGATCCTGACTTAGCAATTGTAACTCTAAACGTTCCTGCAGAGCTGCTCTGTAGCTAGCTCTTCCCTGGCCTCTACCTGCGGAGCCTCTTACCCAGGTATGGTACCTTGCAATTGTTCCTTGGGCAGGGGGGGGGGAAAGAGTAAAGAAGGAAGTTTAATTTAGCCTTCTGCACTTAAGTTCCTCTTTTAAAAAAAACCAAACCCCCAAACAACAAAACAACTTGAAGAGACCTATCCAGTCAAGGCAGAACACTTTTTATGTTCAAGGCAGCTCCACTTTCACCAGTTAAATTCCCACTTCTTGATTAAACCCAATTTGGATTAAGAAGCAATGCAGCTGAATAAGCAGTCCTCTTCACCTGTTTCTTTGATCTTGACACTACTGTTTGCACGCATTCACAGTGAACCAGAACCAGGAGCTAGTTTCTCGAAACACATGGTCATAACCAAGGAAAATAACTATGCATCCAAATTTATAACAGTCAAATTATAATGAAATAAAAATTTCTCTTTATCACATCTATAACTCACTTCAAATGCATCTCTCAATGCTGTTCTTACTACTTAGAAAAAGCATGCAGAAAAAGCATGCATGTGTACTTTATCATTTAATAGAAAAACTGTATTGCCAACAGCACACCAGTTTCTTAAATAGTTATCAAGTGCTGCTCTAAGAATTAATTTTGCAATTAAACAGTATAAACCTAAATCATAATTTAAAAAAAAGGCATTTATACCAGTTATTTCAAGTTGTACACAACAAGGGAAGCAGCGCCACAGCTTAATGAGGAACAAATCCCATCATAATTTAAACAGCTAGGAACAAGTAATTTCATACCAAAAAATACAAGTATTTGTATCATTACCATACTTATTAATATACTTCAGAAAAACCTAAATAATCCAAACAAGTGCACCCCATTTTGTTTCCTCATTGTTTCATAATGCTATTTTGCAAAGTTCTTTGTAACCTTGCTATGTTGGCATCCAAGGCTGCTAAGCTATTCTTAAAGTCCTCTTCATCTCGAGAAGTAAATGTTGAGAAAGAGGATGCACTCCACTCAGACTTTCCTGATATATCATCAAATGAAATGGAACTAAAATCAGCTATTTCACTGCCTTTTTTTTGAGAAATCTCTTTTGGAAATAGCATCGGCATGCGAGGGTATGTACCAGGCTGAGGTTGGTCTGATTTATCTGTGAAGTCTTTTGCAGCTCCACTTGGAGTGCCTTTTGGCCTCATTTGGACTTTGTCTCCTTCTGGCTTTACTTCATCCCCTGTAACTTCAGGCATGTTTTCCATAGTCTTTTTCACACTGTACCCAGCACTTAATTTATCCACAATAGTTAAATCCTTTGATATCTCACATCCATTCTGCTGCACAGAGTTTGAGAGCTCACAGTGGTAGTCCAACATCTTATAAGTCCCTCTACTTTGGGGTAGCACACCAGTTCTTTCAGAGATTGGCTGCTGTTTTTTAGAGGCATTGCTAGTCAATGGAATATAAACAGTCTCATCCAACTTGTTTTGGTCATCTAGTAAAGTCCCAGAATCACTGACAGTTTCTGCATCTTGCTTCAGTGAGGTTAGTAGTATTCTGGGAGCTGATGTTCCTTCTAAGAATGTACTGTTTATTTTACTTCCTTCAGCAGCAAACTTCTCATAGGCTAGATTTTGCATTTCTAATTCTCCATTTTTATTTGAGAAGTGAAGTTCTGCATCTGTCAAAATATGATCCATTTCTAATTTTTTAAGGTAAGTCATTACTGAAGTACTTCCAGGAAACAGATCAGGTTGCATCTGCTTTTCATGGTCTTCCAAAAGAGCCTTAGAGAGACCTTTTTCAGGTTTGGGTCTAATGTTGTCTACTGTGAGATCAGACAGAAGCTTGGCCATACTACCCTGCAGGTTTCTGTTAAGACAAGATCAATTAATCAGATTTAAAAATAGTCACTAAAAAAATAGTTTAAAATGTTTATGTAACACCAAAACATTAGATTTATCAGACTGCGGCAAAGTTGCAATTCTTTCTACATGTTGTCATAAAATGTAGTATAAATGTGAACCAATTCCAAGTTTCTTAAATTTCTTTCTTCAGCTCAGCTCAATGTGCTTATAAAGCAACTAAAATAGCACAACACAATGAAGTTCTCGAGATTATTCCTGATTTACCTGCTTTGAGTACTACAAAATGAAATAAACTGATGTCAAGAAACTGTTAAAAAGCATATAGAAAGTTACCAAAATCAGTGAGAAATTTTTTATGAATTTTCTTCCTATTGCATCTAAATAAAAGATTATAACAGAAGAAGTAATTCTCATTTTCTGCTTTGTACATCAAAATAAATGAATGCTTAAATGCTTATGTATATAGCATATACATATACACATGTAATAAGACATCATTATACTACCATCTGGTGGTCAGTATAGTAGTCACAGAAGTCTGTAACGTCTAAACTTCTACTAAAGAATCTGGAGTGTTGATTAAAAATATTCTGCCATTCCAATCTTTATCAACTATAAACAAGACAGACAACAGTTTAACTTCCTGTGCACATCATGTCCCAACAAATTGTATGTACATACCACTTTGCAAGTGCAAAAAGCTATTGAAGTCTCCCAGCTTGCCACCATATTCATCATAGAAGACCATGATGAAATAAATTCACAGTAACAGTTGTAAAAAACTGTGAATAACACCACCTTCACTCAGTGATCCAAGAACTCCCACCTTTACCCATAATTAATACCTGGGCATAATCTACTTCAACTGTATGTACAGTTAAAGAAAGGACTGCTCTTTCCCACAGGAAGAGTTTGTTGTGGGTTCTGAAGACGGATCTTTCTGTGAGTTCTTCTCAAAACAGACCAATTTCTGAACCAGTGTAAAGAAAGAAAGAAAGAAAATTTCCCTCCTTAATTCAGTTTAAGAGTTAGTTTCCAAATTCTACAGGTACAAGAGAAATATCAGTAGGTTTTCAGGTCCATGCACTTTCCATGGAGTTCCTTGTTGGCAGGTCTGCTATTAAGAGTTAAAACTTCACACAAGTTATGGCAGATAGCATTTTACTTTACAATAGAACTCAAGTCATGGAGTATGACAACTGTGTTTTAACAAAATTATAGCACCATTGCAGTAAAAGTAACTACAAAGAGAAGTTTTAGCCTACGTGACCTCCTACTACCCAGATACTAAGATTACAATAATCCAGAGTATGGAGAAAAAAAAAAAAAGTGACATCAATAGGCAAAAAAATAGCTTAGCCAATAGTACCTGGTTAATTCACGCAGTCTGTTAACTTCTGCATCACGCTGACGTAACGTTATGCCCAAAATCTTATTTTCTTTCTCTGAAGCTTCCAGCTTAAACTGAAGGCTCTTCATGTTTGCTAATGCCTCTTCCACTTCTAAAATGCCAAAAAGAATTTACCTAATTATTTCTTTCAAGTTTTACAACACTAGATGAAGAATAAACAAATGCAAAACACATACCAATCTTGAGCTTCGTGGAATGAATGTCATAATGCTGTTTGTTTTCAAGCAATTCTTCTTCTTTATCTTGAATATATTTTGCAAGATGTTTATTTTCTTCTTTCTGACTTTCTATTATTTTAATCAGTTCTTCATTTTTAGCCTGCAGTGACTCAAGGCCTTTCAGTGATTCTTTCAATTGACTCTGGAGCATCATATTCAAGGACTGCAAAGAAACCACTACCAAAAGTAAAACATAAAAGGTTTAAGCGTTTTATGTGGTACAGTTTGAATTTCTAATTCAAACTAAGTTTTTAAATAATCTATCTGTAAGCAAAATTCATATTACCAAGAAGGGGTTTTTGAAGCAGCAAGACAAAACTCAAGCTTTCTTCTTAATTATCTAAAACGTCATCTTCATTTTAAGAGGCACATAAGGAAAAATAAATCTGCTCGGCAGCTGAAGAGCCGAGTCTCGCTATGTGGAGTCTAAACAGGCACAAGAATCCATGCAAATGCAGTTGCATGATTAGACCCACAACACTTAGTTCAGTTGCCACAATACATACTGCTATTTTTTATTTATATATCTATATATTTATATGTCTGTATCTGTTTAAATAAAGCTTTAACAAAAATGACCCTAACAAGCATCATTCTCTATTAGTACTTTACATTCATAGTTGCAGCTCTGTCCAGGTGTCTTCTCACTTCTTTCTTGTTCCCCGAGTTGCTGGTTTAATATTCTTAGTCTCCTAAACGTGAATTGTGAAAAAGCACAAATTCAGAAAGCTCAGAATAAGTTCAAAACAACTGCATTTTAAATTAGTTTGGTAATAAGTTGCTACTGAGAATTAAATGTCACAGAATGTTTCAAAAATACAAAAAAGTTTTAATAACACATTTTTCTTAGATTCCTATATTTCTTCAATGCAAAAGACCCTTTGTAAGTTCTGGTAAATATCTTTCCCTCTGTTTTGAAGTGCTACCCAGTTACGTATTTGAGAGCTCCCCCGAAATGAGAGACATTTTTGCATTTGAGAATACACTACAAAAGGAATATAAGCAGGCTAACTGTTCTGATACTGCAGTTTTCAGAGAGAATGATACCTTGATCCCACCTAGACAAAGGCCCAATCACGATGTAACTGATGCTACTAAAACATCAGTATTAACTGAAGTCTTGCTATGTGTTAATTATTTATTTTTAAACTATACAGCCTTACCAATACAGTTTCTAATGTATAAATACTGCGCAGACAAGAATGAAAGGGCCATAACACACCATAGCAATGACAAAACATGCAATTTAGAACAGACCAGTTAAAGATGCTTTAGGCGCATCTGCAGTAAATACAGAATCACTGATGAGTTACTCACCTACGCAGCTGGGCATTTTCACTTCTGAGAGGCTGTAAAGCTAGTGCTATTTCAGCTTGTATATTTGTACTTCCCACTACGGCTGGGAGCAATGATATACAGTCTTCTATTTCATTCATCAACCTTAACATTTCCGAATCATCTGCAAGAGGTGAGGGTAAAAAAGACTCCATAAACATATAAACCTGTAATATAACAGTAAGATTCTACACGTGATTAAGCAATCTACAAAGTGATATAATAGTATCTACTTTTTTTCAAGAAAACCTCATCTTTATTTTAACTGTATTTATTTATTTAAGATTTTTAAGCTTGGCTATGAAAACTATGCTTTAGGTTCTTGATAAATCACAACCCACCATCTCTCTGACCAACCGTGGTGGGACTGCTGTTGCAATCCGTCTACGCTGCTCCCTTTCTCAGGGGAAAACACTACATGAAATGAGAACTATCTTTATCCTAGCTGTTACAATGACATTAAAATACTCCAAAAAAATAATTTAATACTTGTACAGAGTAAAACATGAAGCTATTACATTTGTGGAAAACCACTCTAAAATGTCACGTATCATCTGACACATAAAACTTCCAGAAACTGAAGTGCTCACTCATTTAATGCAGCTCTTGTGTTATTTGTATGTAATCACTCTACCGCACTATGAAAATGTCCTCACCTTGATCTGTTATCAGTGCTCTAAGCTCTCCCAGAAGATATTTTACAGTCTTAACTTTATGGGCTGTTTCTTCTGGACTTTCTTTTCTAGATTTTAGAACTTTCTTCACAAAACTTGTCTTACAGCTTGTATCTCTCACTGGGGCTATGTCAAGTACATTCACTTCGTCTTCTTCGTTGACCATGTCCTCACTGTGTTCTTCAGAAGTATCCTCCTCCTTGTTACTTGAAGCATTATGTTTTGTTGGACAATGATGATGGCACTTCTGTTCAGTCCTGCCATTCATTATTTCATGTGATTTTAACAGGGCCAGGTGAGCTTGTATGCATCTTATCAAATCTGCTTCTTTTATCTGTTGCTCGTGGTTTGGGGTCATCTCTCTGCCAGAAGATGATGGGATGAATGTAGGCACTGTAGAGTTACTTGGTGCACCTGATGCCATACAAGGGATCACATTAGAAAGAGCAGTGGCAGACTGTATTTGAGCAGCAGTAGTAGAAGCAGCAGAAACCACCGGGCAAACCACAGGTCCTCCCATCTCTGGCACACATTCATTGCCACTGTCTACAGGAACATCCTGCATAAAGAATATTCATATTAAACAAAAAGTTAACATAATTTTTTTTAATTCTTAAAAAAAACCAAAACACCACCCTTGTCTGACTCAATGTAGCCTTGATCATTCTTTGCAAATTGTAAAAGTAACTACAACTCATTAATTGCGCAATTTTCCAGTATATTAAGGAGTAATTAAAATGTAAACCTGGTTTAGGTTACCTTTATCTTAAATGTAATTGGCAACATTAAAGCACAGTTCTTTTTCAGCTTGTCTGTAAAGAAAACACCTCAGCAGTGTTTTGGTTTTGGTTTTTTTGCGTTATGAACGCTCATTCCTTGAATCAAACCAGAACAGGGAAGAAAGAAATACAAGACAACACTGTTACCTTTCAATATTTTAAGTAGATTAATTTCTTAAAAGCCAAGCACAGCACTAGCTATGTATGGACTGCCTGCAGATGGAAGGTAAGTCTACGGTCTTACAGTTTCAAGGTGCAAGCCCTTTACCACATTTCCCAAGGTGGCAGTTGGTACTCTCCATTAGTTCTATTCTACACCCTGAAATACACGATTATTTTAAAACATGGCGCTAAGATAATACACAGTGTCTGAAGAAATAATCAACTTGACCATTGGCAGGGAAAACCTACATATGAGATATGATTTCTTTTATCAGGAGTTGGTTAATGATCCTAATGTGCATTACTGAGAATGTAAGTATTAACAGTAATCAGTAATTTCCTGCACCTTCCATGTTTGCTGTCCTTTACAGTATTCACCATACAGAAATAAGCTGCCAGTTGAAATGCCTCTAATTTCATTTTTTGGTGTCTACATAAATTGTATTTTAAACAGCAGTACAGTATTTTCTCTCATCATTTATTCTGTTCATCACTGTAGGCTGAAATATGCACATTTTTTCTTTAAGGAAAATTATTACATAAACCCAAGAAAACCTAAACACTTAAATAAATGCATAAATAAATAGGCAGTGCTAATTAAAAACCTTTATTAATAGTCAGAATCATACTTCTACTTACTGACTGAGTAGATAGGGGATTAGCTGAATGCTGCAGGGACAGAGCTGATGTGGAGGTAGGTAATCGATAACTAAAAGCTGTAACATTTTGACATCCTAAAAGAAAACAACACTCATAGATGAGGGCAATTTTGGGCAAAACTCATACAGTAAAATAGCAGGCTCTACATTAATAGTTCCACTAACCGTGATTTGAGGTAGGAAAAGGAGTTACAGTAGGAATTTCGTTACTGTTCTGTGGTGGTTGGCCAGTTATCAGAGACATCTGAGTCTGCACATGCTCGCACAGTTTCTGATGCATCACAGGAGAGTGTGGACTGCAAGGCACATGAATTGGTTGAACCATCTGATTTTGTGCTGCACTGGAAAGTTCTTTCTCGGTCAAAGGTGTGGTGGACGAGGCAAGTTTTCTATTTGATATTGGCACTATAGAAAAAGAAAGAACAAAAGACCCAGCTGAAGCTGTCTGTCTTCTCGATCTACACAAACCCGTTGTGTTGTCAGGCAGACTCTGGCAGGTTCTTTGAAAAAGAAAACCAAGAGACCCTGCGGCCTAAGATTCCAGTCAGATTTTTACTCACTAACAAATTCATCCATCATTTTTTTCTTCGAGACAGAGCAACCTAACTCGGTTGGACAGACAGCTGTCCTTGAAGGAAGCACAGAGATTTAACCCTACAGAAGGCCAGTTCTAAAACACAATTCTTAAAATCTCTGCTTAGCTGCTTCCTAAGCTTTTAAACCACTCGGAATAACCCATACCAAAGCACTCTCCAAAACTAATTTTCTTATGTTGGGTATAATTAAAACTCTGTATTTTTACAGAGCTGGGAAGATAACAGCTATGTGCTCACCTTCTACAATTCACAAGATAGGCACTCTGCTACACACGTAGTCTACAGGCCCACCTGTCTACAGGATTAGAAATCACACAAAAGAAACGGGGTAGAGAGAGGGTTTCTCCCTCTCTCCACTAATAAAAAGTGAAATACTTCAACTGAGAGCAACTCAGCCTACAGCACTCCATCTACCTTTCCATTCAAGTGCTCTGGCCACTAAACCATTTGAGTTCTTATTATTTATTGCAACACTTTCCTGTTTCCAGAAACTGATCTTTAAGAAAAGCCTGGCTGGACACCTAACTCCAGGACAGTTTATAGCTGTATATCCCAAATGGAGACCAAGCACTGTAAAGTTTCACTGTCCAAAAGAAATGGGGCATGGGTATTATCATTCTCCTCCACACCTCCTACCAGCTAAACTTGTTGATGTTGGTATTTGTAAATGCACTCAACATTCTTCCTTGTACATGAAGCTTAAACATTTATGGATTTTAGTAACTGTTTAGTAAACATTTAAGGTTTCTAAAAGGCAATAAATAATGTCTACATCCTTTAGTGGATCCAGCCCTGGATCAACCTATAACAAATAACAACAATTATCTGAAACCTTGTTATATCTCAATAAATTGAGGAGTCTCTCAATGTTGGCTGAGAAAAAAGCAAGCCCAAGAAAGCCCGCTTACCAATTTCTTTTCGGACGTGGGCAGGAGTAATATTTTTTTTCAACCCTTTCTTCTTGGAAGTATTTCCTTTGGTTAGCAAAGGCTTGGAAGTAATTTTAACAGAAGCTGTTTTCCCAGGTTTTTTATGGATAGTTTCCCTTCCTAGTATTAGTTGAAAAAAAACCAAACAAACTAGTCAAGAAAACAAATCAAAACAGTCTTACAAAAAACCAAAACCATAACTTAAATTTTCAATAGGTACAACCTGTAGCCTCACTTTGTAAGATATTCTTCAGTAAAGCTGCACAACGGTCAAGTCCATTATGAATAGTATCAACCTGCACAAAGAATACTGCAGTCAGAAAATGAGTATCACTGTTTTCTTCCACTAAACCAAGCTACTATTTTAGAGGTGAGTGTTCCGCGCTCTGTCACCTGAAAAAGAACAACTGACAACCAGCAAACATATGTCATTTTCCATGTATTACTTTGTAATTACATGAAGCTTTGCAAACACGCAAACTTTGCAAAAACCCTAAATTTTGTTCTTGTACACGTGTCCATTTGCTGGACTTTGTGTTTTGGTAATTGCCTATGTGTGGGTTTTATTCTTATTTCCATGTACGGTTAAGCTATTTAACTCAGCACTACGCAGAAAACAGCACTGCAGCACCGACTCCATACAACTTACTCTTTTCAGCACAAAACCTAACAAATATGGCTATACTTCTGCCAGGGTCAACTCTAGTCCATAAACAGCACAGTTGTGTTTGCAAAATGTATCCTGTGCCTTAATGAGATTTGTCAGAGCCAAACTCACTGTACACAAAAGTCAACTCGCATGTATCTGCAAGATGCAGTACAGACACTCTTGCTAGCTTTGCAGGAGCTAATTCTAGTCTAGATGCAGTAGTATCTAAACTAACCTGTTTTTCTTCTATTATTCAAGGTATTCCAATTTCCCTTCTCTTTAGATAACAGAGGTAACTATATTAAAAAGTCATTTAATTACCTGATCGTCAGAGTCAGTGGAATAGAGAGAGTATCCAGACTCCACATCTGAATGACATCCTTTTCTTACACCAAACCTGAAAAAGTCAGATTCACTGTTTATACTACCTCCTTGACATGCAGCCAAGTACAAAAATTTACTTTTATTCAGTAATAGCAAACTAAAGTAAATTAATTTTATCAAGAAACAAAATATCTTTCTCTTTCTAAAAACTTTGCATTGCTGCAATAAACATGTTTAGCAGATATTAACAGCTCATTCAGTCTTTACTCAAGTCTGATGTATGGCTAGTAACTATACAAATTCAATCTTTTATTAGTAAAACACGCAGAGAGACTCAACCCTGTATTTCTACAGGCAAAATTTCTATTCAGTTTGTGTCTGTCTATTCATGGGCTGCTTAGAACCTGGATGTGCTGCCTTTCAGCTAAAAATGTTTTCTGATATATACAAAGAATTTTTGGCTAGTTGTGAGGTATGACAAGTACAAGGTTCCCAAACACTCACACGTACACTCAATCTTAGATAGTATTTATGATTAAGGTCTTACTGTTTTCTTCCACTTGTTAATTTAGCGGCTCCTGTTAGCCTTCCAGAAGACAGTACCTGCCGATTACAGAAATATACGTTGATTTTCATGAAGCACTTCCACAACATAATTGAAGACTACCACTGCCCACTAATTCCAAGAACTTTTGCTGAGGCAGATCAGTTAAAGGCAGCTTACAGCTCTCGGCCTGAGGACGGGGCCCACCGCTGCCATCAGGGCCCGAATCCTGTAGTTTTCATTTCACAGACCATACCTTTACAACATGGAGCTTTACGAATTTCCGCACTACTCTAGAGACACAGTAATTCACTTAATGACGTGGTCAAGGGCTGACGCGCAAACACACGTTCCAGATGGAAACCAAGCTCGATAAATACACACCTGAACTTCGGGGGATTTTAAGAATAAACTACGGTCACGGCACAAACCACGGCTACGCCGCGGTGGCAGAACCCTTGAACAGTAAGCCTGCTGTTTTACCGACACAGGTAAACCCTTCGAGCCCTGAGGAAGGGCGGTTGGGCTAAGCCCCGTCAAGCAAAGGCATTGAGCGCCGGAAGGCCCGACTCCCCCTCAGGAGCCGTTACGCCGATCGCCCCGCTCCCCACTCGCAGGGGACGCCCCCCGCCCCCCCACCGGAGCAAGTCAGGGGTCCAAGGAGGCACCTGACGAGAGAGCTGAGACCCGACCGCGGACACGGAGAGGCTCCGAAGACCCCCGCTCCCCCCAGGACCCCGGCCCCGCACGCACCTTGCAGGGCCGCGCAGCCCCCGGCCTGGCCATGGCCCCAGCCCCGGCCCCGGCAGACGCGGGGGCGGGGCCAGCCGCCGTCCAGCTCCGCCCCCTCGCGCCGACCAATCCCGAGCCTGCTTGGCTGACGGACGGGACGGCCTTTGCGGAGGGGAGGGGCTAACTGCCCCCTGACCCGCCCCCGCTCGGCGGCTGCTCACGGCGCGCCGGCGGCGGCTGGCGCGGGAAGGGGAAGGAGCCGCCTTACGGAGCGCGGTCGGGGATTGGTGGAGAATGGGCGCCGAGGAGCCAATCGGAGGAGAGAAGGGGGAAGGAGCGGGGCTAAGGCGGGCTGCGAGGCCGTCGGCGGTTGTGGCCGTTGGGGCGTGAGGGGCCGCCCCCTCCCTTCGGGCCTCAGCGCTCGCGCCTCGCCCCCTCTGAGGAGTCCCGGCACCTGCCTCTCCGCTTAATAAGAAAAAAAAATCACCTCACGTAGCTGGGTCTTCCCGTCCCAATGCTGTCTGGTGCCTTAGGGATCCTTCGGGAGCAGTAGGCCCTGTGGGGCAGGGGCTCAATGCACTCATAAAATAAATGGAAGAAGGGGCCTTGCAGGTGGGTGGGCCACCCTGAAGGAAGACAGACGTCTCTGGGGGGGACTGCTCAAAAAACTACCTCAGGGCCCCTGCTTGCTCGTGCAGCCTGTGTCTTGCAAGTCCTCGGGCACCACAGGTAAAAGCAGGCTGGTAGCCAGTCAAAGGGAACTGTCGATACTTTGTTGACAGGCTAAACCCGTCGGTTCTTTGTTCTCCACGCTGGCTTTCAGTTAGTGTTAAATCTTCTTTGGCAATCCCTGAAAACACCCATGTACGTACATCATAAAGGATGGTGCCTCAAGTTTCACACACAGAAGCATATTAGTATTCTGCATATCTTTGCTTTTATTAGCTGAATAAATAGACCTTCTGAAAACATAGCATTGAAAGCAATTACATTTATTCAGGCTGAAAATGTGGTTACATTACTATGTTATTAAGAGTACTATAGCAGAAGTGCATGTAAGTACTCAACATCTGTGCTCTCCCAATGCGTAAATTGTGTTGTTACTGGGTATTACTGTGTTAACATTCTCACTGAAAAGATGCTGAACTTGAAGTAAAACTATCATGAAGATATTTATCATCTTGTCAAAACAGAAGGGTTTTCTGGCAGGAATGTGGAGACTGCTTCAATTTTTCTCTTTGAAAAATGTAAAATAAGAAGATAGTTGTAATAGGAGAACAGCTGAACGAAATAAACTAGAAAAATGGAGAAGATGAAAACAGCTCAAAAAGATGTGTTGCAACTACCAAACCAGTGCCAGAACCATTGGTATACTTTTTTCTTAAGGTGGTTTATGGAAGTTTATGAATAAATTCTCATTGAACTTACAGATGTGAGTGCAGAAATTTAAACAATTAAGGAAGAATTATCCCAAGTTGTTAGCAACAAGTAACAGATATTAAAAAAAATTCCCCCCAAGCCACAATACCATCCTTTGATTTGACGTATTGTTTGAAGACACATAGAACAACACTTCATTTTTTCATCAAAAGGAAAATTAATACAGAAGGCTACCAAGTTCCATTCTTGTCAACTGAACCATTTTAAAACTTTGGATGAAATAGCAAGATTGTCTTACAAATAATTTTTTAAAATGCAACTGTAAAGATAAAAAAATTGCGTAAAGAATTGATATTCTCATGAAGTCACAGACCTCCAAATGGTCAGTCTTCAAAGAAAAGTACAAGCTGTCATGAGACTTGTGATAAAACTACAAGAGTTAGCAGCAGTGTATTCTGAGCATAGAGTTAGCTATCAGAAGACCTAGGTGTTTTTTCTGACTGACATTGGATTTTTTCATTGAAACAGTGTGGGGAATCACTGAATATCTCTGGACCTGTCTGGTTGTTATGGTAAAATTTTGATTAAAAAAAGCTTATTCTTTGCTTACAAAATGAAATGCTTCAATGTCATGTGCTGCATTCATACATAGTATTGTATTGTTATTCATATTCATGATCAAGCTATGTTTCAGAGAGAAAATTAAATTCCATTTCATTCCATTGCATTTCATCAAACCAATTTCATTTTTTCTTCCTGTTTGACAGATAACTAACGTTCCCCAAACATTTCCAGGGGTACAATTTTGGATGTGGCCACAGCCAGGTTTGCTCAGACTTTGGGAAAGCAAACTGTGGCAATCTTCCAGGTTCCAACACTACTTGGTGTAGAAATAATGCCAAAGGCAATTAAAAAAAAAAAAAAGCTGGCTAATGTAACATAAATAAAAGTGTAATGAAAAGTATAATGATAAGCAGCGTTGTCCTGAACAGATGAAGGGGATGTCTTGGATTTCCATGATTTATCTCAAATTTGATGTTGTGCCATATAAAGGGTTAGTTTATGTGAAGGAATAAGAATTATATTGTTGGTGGTGAGGAAGAATAATAAATCATTTTTACAAATACTGTACAATAATGTCCAAATAGTGAAACGGTACGAAGTATGAAGTGGGATATGATAGCTTAACACAGGTCATCATGTCCTGGACCATCTACGCAGAAAAACCATGTTACAAACTGACTGAATATTAATTCTACTGTGACAAAATATGCTCTCCCTACCAGAAAGTGGTTGACAAATTGGACATAATTTAGAGAATAGTGACAGGACCAATGTAATACAGGACAAAAATATGTGTGTAGGAAAAGACTCAAATCATTAAGCAGGGAAAAGCTGTCTGAATTATGAATAATTAAAACATATATGTGGTTCTGTTTGCAATTTTAATGCTTGAGATGATGTCCATGTTGCATGAAGCTTCACTGAAAGTAATAAAAAGCTTATTCTTACCTTAAATGATTTACAGTTTAAGTTGCAGTACCAGGGTGATACAGCAAAGTGTATACAAGACTGATGCGCTTAATAATGATGAAGAAATAAATGTATTTAGAACATAGCTTTGGGGGACCAAAGATTTTTGAGGGGACAATTCTCAGATAAAGTAAAACAAAGCTCTTTTGTTTCAGGAAGGAGAGAAAGCAAACAAAATGAAGCTAATAAAAGCAGGAGAAGACATTTGTCAAACAACACAGTTTCATCAGAAAATGGGGCTTTTCCAGCACCTACCTGGGAAAACCATGTTCTCATTCAGTGTAAGTTCTGGAAGTCTCCTGCTAAGAGTACTAACAAGGTCTAGTGATCTAATTAAGTACTAACCTAAGCATGATCAAGCACTAGCACAAACCAATATTATTAAGCTTTCCTCTGAATGGATTACAACCAAAAATTTGTGTGGACTTAACAAGGGAGTATTTCAGAAAATTAGGAGCTTCTTATGAGACAAGTAGGCCAAGAATACAAATGATAACTGATTATTGTTTAAGACTATTTTAGTAGGTGCCCAAACCCCCATAAATATGCAATTAAGGAATAAAGCTACAACTTGGCTAATGGAAAGAAAATGAACAGCTTTTTTGTCTAGCCACCTATCCTTCAATCTATGTATAACAAACAGAAAAGGGGAGATGAATAGCGATGAATATGTAGTTAAGAATACAACCTACAGAAAACAGGTACTTCATTCGTCAGATAGGCTGAAGGGATATCTTGATCACAGTAAAAATGCTATTAGAGGAAGCAGATATTTGGTAGAGAGCTTTTCAGTTCAATGTTTGATTATTTGAAAATAATCTACAGAGTGTTCTAGATTTTCAACATCTCAGTCAAAGATACGCTTAAGTTCAATCATACATATTTAAAGCTACAGCAGGACTAGCTGCATGGAAGACCTATGACCTGTGTGGTTCAGAAGGCCTGTCATCAAATTTGATTTTGTGATGTATTTGGAAGGAATGGGTGTATAAGCTGTGACTTTATTCTTCCTAATATGTAAATAGAGTGGGAAAAATCAAAACAACTTATCTTTGGCCTGTCTGCCCACATTTAAGTGAAGTATCTTATGTAAAGCACATTAAATGCTCTTTACCTTGAGAAGTTCCCACAAGGACAAGATCATAAAGGTATTGAGTTATGACTTGAAGGAAACATCGCCAGGATTCAAGCTGGTTTGACCTTTTTGAGCTAATGACGGTTTAAATAACAACCCAGAGCTTTCAGAAAGCTGGTGATATTATACTGCATGAAGTAATTGTGCATGAGTTTTGAACCCCACAAGATGGCGCCACGTGAACATAAAATAATAAGCACTGCATTTAAACTAAAAAGTGACTCATTTCCATAATATAAATGGATGCATGTTTTTGTTTAAGTAACATTAGGACAATTCCACTGGTATGTCTTAGAATCTTTGTCAAAACTTGTCTTTTCAGGCAATCCTACTGACAGGAATAATGTTTTATTAGTGAAAGTGTATGTATGAAAATAGTAATTTTTGGCTAAAACTTCATGGCACTATTTATTTATTGCTCTACTAAATATAAAATCTACTATATCATCAAAATGACCTTTACAAACACATAGGCTATTTCCACAGTATGCAAGTTTAGTAGCAGATCTAGATTCTGATGGCTGTAGGGGAAGAACAAACTCTAACAACAGATTAATTGCTCAAAACATTTCTCATTTTCATTCTAAGTTACAAAAAGAAATTAAGCAAGAGAAGAACAGAAAAAAAAATCTAAAAATAATTGCCTCTAATTAGAGTGTTTGTCCAAATTTCCCATGAGGAAGGTTTTGGAATTAGTACTAGCGATGAGAGTATTGAAGACAAGGGTCAATGAAGTTTGTCCCACCAAGATTAAATCCTGTAACTCTTGTTGTTTTAGGAGCAGATGCATAGATAAGTAAGTTATAATAGCTGAGATACTTTTAAAATAATATACTTCTATTGCAAACAATCAATAGACCTTTATCCACAAATTTCAGCATAAAGCTTTAACTTCCATTCGAGTTGTACCAGATCATTCAGATGATCTCAAGAGGTCCCTTCCAAGTTAAATGATTCTGTGATTCTGGTTTGGAACTTTTTTCTTCTACTTTTTTTTCTTCAAGTTCACTCTTGATTACCT